TATCTGTATCTCTATGCACTCCTTCTCCATTCCTGCAGCCACACCGCCTGGGGCTATGACCTGGTGAGCTCTCCAAAGCTTAACAGGGTCAAGTCTGCTTAGTAATTGGATGAAGGTCCTCAGACCGAATATGTTGCAGGAAGTGATTCACTAGATGGCACTCTTCTATGTGCATCAATACTGAGCCCACTGTCCCAGCCTAAAGTTAGAGGTGAGAGATGAGATGCAAATCCAATGTCTCAATCCCACGTGGTCATTAAAAGATCCCCTGGCATTATCTCAAGAGTAGGATTGTTAACCTCAGTGCTCTGGGCCAGATTTCAACTACACTCTGCCTGACTCAATTCCTCATGTAGTTACAATTGGTTACAGTGCTGTTCACTCTTCCTGTTGCATGCTGTTAAACAGCTGCTGTGTTCCACCCTAGAGGCAGCTGCGTTTCACTGGCCGTTGAGCAACCCCTACATGTATAGTCTGTAAAGTGCTCTGGGATCTTTCCACATGAGAAGTGCTATATAAAACCTGAAGTTATTTTAAGGAAAAGAATAAAAAATACCTCCAGAGCTGAAGAGTTTCTGTACATGTGTAACCTACACACATGTGGGAATGGTGCTGTGCCACCAAGACCACTTACAGATTAATGAGTCTGCTCTACAGCTTTAGCTAAGGGCCATGTGGCTTTTAGCTCATGCACCTTAGCTCCAGGGGTCCCAGGTTCGATCCTGCCCGCCAACAACCGGGGTCTGTCGGTGTTACACATGCTTGAATAAAAGTATCTTCTCCCTTACTTGTATTCACTCAGTGACTTTCTAACCTTTATAAGCATGCTGAAGCTGTGTTCCAGGACATTGCTCATGCCTTTTGCTTGTAATTTCCTGCATGCTATTTTATTTGCATATTGTTGAATTTGGTAGTATCCCAGAGGGAAGAGCCAATGCACAGGTTCTGGCTCAAGTATTCAAGCTAGTCAGGACCTCTCTGTTAACACGCAATATTGGTTTCGATCCTGAGAACACGTTAGGGTTTTGACTTGGCTTGTTAAATACTCTCCATATTACTAAGTGCAAATAACTGATTGAGCAGCCAGAAGTTAAAGCCATATGTTCCCATTCATAGCAATTAGAATGGACTAAGGTCCACGAAACCTGGTAAAAAAAAAAACACAAAAAAAACCCGACGAGTAAAGTTATTGAGCCAGATCATCAACTGGTGTAAATATGGCATAGAGCCGTTGAAGTCAACGGATCTACACCAATTTAAACTAGCTGAAAATCTGCCTCTATGGCTATATTTGTATTACAGAACAATCCTGATTATCCAAACAACGTGGGTGACACCAAATTTGTTTGGATAACTGGAATTGCATAGACAAGGAGTTAGCTTGTTAGGGAGATTTGTAAAGGGTCTCCAAGAGGCTGGATTATCATGATTGATCATCATGTTTTCCCTACACCAGAGCCAGTTGGAACCTTTTAGATTAAATGTTTTTTGTCAAAAAATGCTGCTCCATTGGGTTTCATGGAGACGTATCGATTTTGACGGGAAGGTTTCTGAGGTCTAGGGCGGGCTCTCTGGTCACTTCCAAAGAGAGAGAAAGACCCAAATTGGAAAGCTGAACTTACAGATCCAAAGCTAGATATTTCAACACTATTCCATTTTCACAAAGACATTTGAAAAATTTTGTATCCTTCCACTGTGGAATGAAAGCAAAATGTGACAGCTGTCATGTAATGGAATTGTTCTCCGGCCACTCTAGTTATGGCTCAAGTGAATCATAGAATCATAGAATATCAGGGTTGGAAGGAACCTCAGGAGGTCATCTAGTCCAACCTCCTGCTCAAAGCAGGACCAATCCCCAACTAAATCATCCCAGCCAGGGCTTTGTCAAGCCTGACCTTAAAAACTTCTAAGGAAGGAGATTCCACCACCTCCCTAGGTAACACATTCCAGTGCTTCATCACCCTCCTAGTGAAAAAGTTTTCCCTAATATCCAACCTAAACCTCCCCCACTGCAACTTGAGACCATTACTCCTTGTTCTGTCATCTGCTACCACTGAAGTGCATAAAGGAAGGTCTTCCCAGAGACTTAGCTACTCAACCTCATGATGAGAACCCCTTTCAGTTGACCCAGCCAAAGGCTAAAAAGATTGTCGCCAACATTCCCAGGTGAAGAGCCAGACATGACAACAATCCTTTTAGGTAGCTCAGGGACCTGGCACCGAATTGGGCAAATAGACAAACCTTCAAGCACCCATAAGTATGAGGAATAAACAGGAAGAACTGGAAGTATTAATACATATGCTCAATTATGGTTTACTTGGCATCACAGACATGGTGGGATAAGTCTCATGACTGGATTTTGGTATACAGGAGTATCGCTTGTTCAGGAAGGACAAGCAGGATAAAAAGTGATGAGGTGTTGCATTGTATATCAAGAATATGTACACTTGTGCTGAGGTCCAGAAGGAGGTGAGAGGCAGACCAGTTGAAATTCTCTGGGTAAAGATAAAAGGGATAAAGAATAAGGGTGATGTCATGGTAGGGATCTACTAGCAACCACCAATCCGGAAGAGGAGGTGGATGAGGCATTTCTAGAACACATCACAGAAATATCCAAAACACAAGACCTGGTAATAATGGATGACTTGAGCTACCCAGTCATCTGTTAGAAAAGTAATATGGCAAAACACAAAATGTCCAGTATATTCTTAGAAAGTATTAAGGAAAAACGTATGTTTCAGAAAACGGAGGATGTAACAAGAGCGACAGTCATTTTAGACTTGATTCTGATCAATAGGGAGGAATTGGTAGCAAATCTGAAGGTGGAAGGCAATTTGGGTGAAAGTGACCATTAAATGATAGATTTCATGATGCTAAGGAGAGGCGGGAGTAAGAGCAGCAGAATAAGGACAATGGACTTCAAAAAAGCAGATCTCAACAAATGCAGAGAACTGGTAGGTAAGGTCCCATGGTAGGAAAATCTAAGGGAGAAAGGAGTTCAGGAAAGCTGTCAGTTTCTCAAGGAGGCAATTTTGAAGGTACAACTGCAAACGATTCTGATGCTATAGTAAGATAGGAAGCACAGTAAGAGGGCAATATGGCTCCACCTGGAACTCTTTAATGACCTCAAAATCAAAAAGGAATACTACAGAAAGTGGAAACATGGATGAATTGCTAAGGATGAGTACAAAAGAATGGGACAACCATGTAGTGACACAAAATGAGTTACACCTAGCAAGGGACATAAAAGGCAAAAAGAAGAGGTTATTTAAATATATTAGGAGCAAGAGAAAAACTAAGAAAATGTAGGTCCTCTACTTAGCAGAGAAGAAGAGTTATTATGGATGACATTAAGAAGGCTAATGAGTTGAATGCCTATTTTGCTACAATTTTCATGAAAAATGTTCATGATGTTCAGATATGCAACACAATTAGAATTAACAGCAAAGGGGAAGGAACGCAAGCCAAACCAGGGAAAGAACATGTTAAAGAATATTTAGATAAGTTAGATAGATTCAAGTTGAAGAACAGGATTAGAATTTAAAATGACCTTGACAATGCAGAGAATTGGTCTGAATTCAACAGATGAAATTCAATAAAGACAAATGAAAAGTCCTTCACTTAGGAAGGAAAACTCAAATGCACAACTACAGATTGAGGAATAAATGGGTAGTTGGTAGTACCGCTGAAAAAAGATCTGGGGGTTATAGTGGATCACAGATTGAATGAGAGTGAACAATGTGATGCATCTGCAAAAAAAAAAAAGGCTAATATCATTCAGGGGTGTGTTAACAAGAGTGTTGTACATAAGACAGGGGAGGTAATTGTCCAGTTGTACTCAGCACTGGTGAGGCTTCAGCTGGAGCACTGTGTCCAGTTCTGGGTGCCACACTTTAGGGAAGATGCAGTGAAATTGGTGAGAGTCCAGAGGAGAGCAACCAAAATGATCAAAGGTTTAGAGAAGTTTAAAAAATTGGACATGTTTAGTCTTGAGAAAAGAAGACAGGGGGAACCTGATAACAGTCTTCAGCTATAGTAAGAGCTGTTATAAAGAGGACTCTGATCAATTGTTCTCCGTGTCCACTGAAGGTGGGACAAGAAGTAATGGGCTTAATCTGCAACAAGGAACATTTAGGTTAGATACTAGGAAAAACTTTCTAACTATAAGGGTAGTTAAGCTCTGAAATAGGCTTCTAAGGGAGGTTGTGGAAAAGGACAGGCTAGACAAACATCTGTCAGGGATGGTCTAGAAATACTCGGCCTGGCCTCAGCAGCAGGGGCTTGACTGGATGACTTCTTGAGATCCCTTCCAGTCCAGCATTTCTATGATTCTATAAGATGCAGTGTATTGGACGCAGCATCCGGGTGAGCTGGTCAGGTAGCGGAAAGAGCGTGTTTCGAGGAAAGATGAGGAGGCTGACACTTGGTGTGCATGGTGCGGGAAGCAGACTGCTGGAATAGCAGGCCGTCCTGGTGTTTTCCCAACTGCCAACCATCAGCAGTCCCCAACATGATATGGAACCAGCCATGCCATTTGCAGAGCCCTGAAAAGGCTGGCTGGGCAAGTCACAGGGCTCTGAAAAGTGTGTGGTTTATCTGGCCTTGGCCCCACTGCCAGAGAGTGGAGTCTGGCAGCAAAGAGATGTCTCCCCTTCCACAGGGGTGACTGGGGTCCAGTCTATATGTACCTGAATCAGTGCTGGATGCTGGAACGCAGAGAGCCCCATTTGGCCATTTGCTTACTAGAGCCTGATCCAAAGTCCATTGTGTGGAGACTTTCCACTGACTTCAGTGGGTGTTGAGTCAGGGCCAGCCCTGACTCATTGTGTCTTCCAGTGCTGGAAATGACCCGGCCTGGAAATGGGATTCTTAAGCCAGGAGGCAGGTTTCCTAGCCTGCTGCTGTGTTCTTCAGAGGAGGCGCTCATGTCAGTCCGTTGGGAAGGGTCACTCACGTTCGCCTCTCAGTAACAGATCCCTGCATCCTTCCCTCTTCCACAGCTACCCGGGAGTCGGCCTTCGTCCACGCCATCGCCTCTGCGGGCGTTGCTTTTGCGGTGACCAGATCCTGTGCCGAGGGCTCGGCCACCATCTGCGGCTGCGATACCCGCCACAAGGGGCCCCCCGGGGAAGGCTGGAAATGGGGAGGCTGCAGTGAGGACGTGGAGTTTGGGACCATGGTGTCTCGAGAGTTCGCGGACGCCCGGGAGAACAGGCCAGATGCTCGGTCAGCCATGAACAGGCACAACAACGAAGCTGGGAGGACAGTAAGGCCATCCGGTTTCATTTTATTGAGTCCCTAAAAACATTTCCTTCCACCCCCACCCCCGAAAATCCTAGGTGAACGGCAAAAAGAAGCTCAGGTGAACTGGGTTCAACACTGTAGCCCCCTACTGCCCAGTGCGTGTTATAGATTCTCCTCTGTGCCTGATCTGCAGAGGATATGAGTCTGCTATAGCTGCCAGCTATGGGTCTTAGGCCTAGATCCTCAAAGGCTTTTAGGTGCCTAACTCCCATTGAGGGCATGCCTTTGAGGATCTGGGCCTTAGCCTGTTAGTTCAAGCCACGGAAGCTCATGTGCTCAGTTCTGAAGACCTTAGGTTCAGTCCAAATGAAAACTAAGAGGATGGTCATCATATACAGACTTCCCTGTGCTCAGAGCCTGGTTTCTGTGCCTCTTCACACCTAGCAGGTGCCTAAAATAGCCCCATATTTACTCTCAGTGCCTGGGGTTAGCACCAACCTGCCATGGGGGAAAGGGCTTGCTGTCAACTGGGCAATTTCAGGACAAGGCTTCAGGCTGTCCATCCTGCGCACCTGCTTCCTAGCACCACCAGGAAACTTTCTTGGCTTGGAGCTAACTTCTCCAACCCTCACCCCACTATATGCCTCACAAAAGTTGCTTTGTGTTCTTTCCCCCCTACAGAGAGACCTCATGGTTCATCCTATATAGGGACCAAACTTAATTAAATCATAAAATCAAAATAGCTAACCTGATCCTACTCCCTTATTAAGTTGTTATTGACAATGGGGGAAGGAGTGGGGTCTATCCACTTCCATAGAAACATATGACTACAAAGTAGTCACTCCTCCAATATGGAGTTCCGCTACTGTATGTAACCACAGTCCGGAACAGGCCAAAACCTCAGAGCGAGATCCTCAACTGATGGAGATGGGTGAAGCTCCATTGAAGCCAATGGAGTTATTCCAGTCTACACCAGCTGAGAATCTGGCCCAAGATGTGGAGCACAGACCTTTAAAATTCAAGATGAAGTCCCACCACAAAATGAGGGATGCAGCAACTAAATAGCAGAAGAAGGAAGCAAGACATGTCCCTGTGGTCATTTGACATAAAGTTGTCCATCGGGTCCTGGGTACCATGGGTTACTCAGCATTTCTGATGGCAGTAAAAGGCAGGGATAAAGAGTACCACCACACAGTTGGGTAGGATGGAAATGAGGGATTTGTCTCATAATGCGAATCAATAAAAAGATACAATATTAGCTGTAAGTTCAACAGTGACAATTTAGGCTCTTGTTCGGGCTATCTTCATCTTCAGTCCATCCTCAAGACTCCGATCCCATTTTAGGCCCCTTACAGATATCATAGATCAGATAGAAAATGGCACAACATTAACACTGAAATCCTGTTGCTTCAGAAATAGCATATGTTTTCCATTCACACCATGTTAACACTCATTAGGTGCACAAGTTCCAATCCTCCGGATTCAAGTATTTCCAGCTAATAAAACTAAGCAGTAGGGGAAGTCGGAACCAGTTTTCATAAGAATTCAAATCCAATCTCCAGACCAAAAGCTTTGACTGAGATTTGGATGATTATATGAACCAATTTCCAGCTAATAAAACTAAGCAGTAGGGGAAGTCGGAACCAGTTTTCATAAGAATTCAAATCCAATCTCCAGACCAAAAGCTTTGACTGAGATTTGGATGATTATATGAACCAAACATTTTGCAGTTCTCCCATCGCTAATTACAATTTCCTTGGCAGTGAATGAAGCTGCCTAACTGGCACAAAAAAACCACCCAGAAAATGTTGATCACACATTGTAGTTGCTGATTCATGGCAAATCTTTTGGATTTAGCTTGGTACTAGTCTGTTCATGCATTCATAAATTTGCTGATCATCTCTTAATAACACAGCTTATTGAGTAAATTGTATCAGGCTATCTTCCACCTCAGAAATGGTGGTGAACAGTGCCTTGGAAATGTGGATCAATTTCAGCCATGGGTGAGGCAAACATAAGTCTCATTGAAGCCAATGGTGATTTCTTCCGTTTAGACCAGGACTGACGTTCACCCGCTCCATCTGGTAACCATGCCACCCATAGATGCAGCATTGCCAACACCAAGCATTCAAAAAACTCAAGAGTCAGGCTTCTCAAATCATGAGACTGGCTTAAAAAATAATCATACATTTTGTGTTCTTTTCATTTACCTGCTGGTTTCTGTACCTTTAGCAACCTGGGGGGGCAGGGGAGGCTAGAAACTTACTTTTTGTTTTTTCAAATGAAAGCTGAGATTCTCACCTATTCACATGCCTCCAGGAGCTGGGGCCTTAAGGAAAACACCAACTACCATGAGGCTCGTGATAAAATTGCAAGAATTGGCAACACTGCGAGCTGTGCTTTCAGCTGTCAAGGTTTGACCTGCTCAACACACTGTTGAGAGGCCTGTGAAGAAAATCTTAGGGTTCAGCAGGAAGTGGCACTGGTGATTCAGCAGGTGACACTCTCCTCCTTGACTTGAGTCTCTTTTGCAAGAAAAGGGAGCTCTGATGACCGGGCTAAATTGTCGTTTGGATAATCATAGCACATTTCGCCCATGAATTCTCCCTGCAGTTTAAATCGGCTTATGAATCCTTCTTCACTCCCTGTCCTAAAGTATTATTTGGCTTGGCTAAGTGCTGTTCAGAAGCTGCTGTATTCCACCTCAGAGGTGTCTGCATTTCCCTCCTGAGCAAAGTGATCCTTGAGTGTGAATATAGCTATAGAAATATTTACACACATGGGTACAGGAATGACTTCACCTGTCATTGAAAGTACTTTATGGAGACCACGTCCAATCCCTGACTGGTGTATACCAGTGTAGTTAATGAAACTAAATTGGTTTACACCAGCTGAGGAACTAGACCTCTGCCTAGGATTCTTTGGGATGAGAAGTGTTAGGTAAATAACAGAATGTATTATTGATCCATATTATGGGCTAATAGTTTCCCTTTTCCATTTTTCTCTCTTTTCTAGTCCATTATTGATCACATGCATCTGAAGTGCAAATGTCATGGTCTGTCAGGCAGCTGTGAGGTGAAGACGTGCTGGTGGTCCCAGCCAGACTTCAGGGTCATCGGTGACTATCTCAAGGACAAGTACGACAGCGCTTCTGAAATGGTGGTGGAGAAGCATCGGGAGTCCCGTGGCTGGGTCGAGACGCTCAGGCCCAAGTACAACTTCTTCAAGGCCCCGACTGAGAGAGACCTGGTTTACTACGAGAACTCACCAAACTTTTGTGAGCCGAACCCCGAGACGGGCTCCTTTGGGACCCGCGACCGGATCTGCAATGTCACCTCCCACGGGATAGACGGATGCGACCTTCTGTGCTGCGGCCGCGGGCACAACACAAGGACTGAGAAACGGAAAGAGAAGTGCCACTGTATCTTCCACTGGTGTTGCTACGTCAGCTGCCAGGAATGCATACGAGTCTACGATGTTCACACGTGCAAGTAAAGCAGGGATTCCCTGGACAGGCTCCGTGTGGAGAAACGGATTTGAGCCTGCTTCTTCTGAGGTTGTGTAGATGGGAAAGATCTACTTTTTTTTATAGTAAAAGAAAAAATAAAAAAGGCTAAAACTGGCTGGATAGAATAGATCTAATGACTTCTTGGTCGTCCCAAGATGCATCTGGAGGCTAACATTACAAATATGGAACGCCATGCAAAATGATTATGCACCGGTTAGGAGACTGTGATTCCTTTAACTACCCAACAGCACAGAACTGCAGAGACGATTGTTAGCGGGAGCATGATTCTTTCCTCTTCTCTCTACTAACCTGAAGAGACTCATGCTATTAAGTGTCCTTTGAAAGACTTGCAACTTCCTAAACACCTCCTGTTCCCAACCCAATCGGAAGAGGTGATGTCAGACAACAGCTCTCAATGTATTGAGATCCTTTCCAAGCCCCAGCAACCAGAGTCTGTGTGCAACGTGAATGGCAAAAAATTAAAATAAAGTAAAATATTCAATTCACTAAAAAAACAAACAAACAAATCCTTCTTCCATGTCTTCCGGGAACAGGGGAATTCTGCAAACATTCCTTAGTGCTGTAGAATGGATGAGCTCTTAGCATGAACTTTTTAACATAGTGGTTTCTGCCAGATTTGACATAGGATGCAGGAACCCATTTAGTCACTTCTGCAGAGGAAGAGACTGCTGACGAATTACTACCAAGGTCCCACTGACACCAGTGCAAAAGGTTTGGTAGATGCTGTGATCTCTAGACACATGGTGCATGCCGTATGTAAAAACTCAGTGCCCAGAAGGGGACCCAGCAAACGCATGGCCACACCAGCAGACACACCAGCAGACATTGACCCAACTGTGACCTCTGGAGGCAGGGGTGTGACTCAGCCGATTAGAAGGAGGATGCCCGTTGAGACATGCAGTGGGGTAGGGCACAAACCACCTGTGATTAAGGTGATGAGGACATCGTTTCTTTGCACCAGAAGCCAGCAAGGAAAGGAGAGCAGGAAAGGTGTTTCCCCACCTCTGGTTAAGAAACAAAGTAACATTGGAAAGTGCACTTAGTTCATTTCATCCTCTCCGTACAGCTCATGCAGGCTAATTCGGGGGGCTCAGCAGAACCCTCAGAACCGAACTCCGTTGGGAACAGCGGTTCTGAAGGACTGCACGGTATGTGTTGCTAGACAAACCCTGAACTGGAACAGCCTTGGACTCTGGCCAAGTTTGGAACCAGATCCAACCTCTGCAACTAGTGTCTCTATAACAGGCCAAATCAAAACCCTGGTGTCTGAACCACCCTCGACTTGGGGAAAGTTTGGATCCAGATCCAAATCCCATCTCTGCAGCACGGCCCTATCTCTGCTGTTAAACCGTTTCGCCTCTTTGACTCCATCCCTTTGCCTGTGTTGCAAGCTGTCGTACCTCTGAGACCTAGATTGGGCTTGCCAATTTACAGTAACAAATGTAACTTGCTGCATGATAATCTGGGCTCCACCTGCGGTTGTGGGTTCTCAGGCCTGACTCTCCACTCCCTCACACTGGCTTTTACAGCAGTATAACCCTATTGGCTTGGGTTGCATTATTCCTGATTTATACTGGGGTAAGTGAGAGGTGAATGAAGCACAGAGTCATGGCACACTTAGCCTTTGCCTCCTTCATGTCTCACCCTCTTTTCCCCACCCGCTGGGGGTCCCATCTAGAGAAATGGGAAATGGACTGATTTTTTTATTTTTTTTTTGCCATCAAGCATTGCAGAAATGGAAATGAGGACTGACTGCCATGGGAGCTGGATCACGCCTCTGGGCTAGGTTGGGACTGCACACCTGAGTGGGGAAATACAAGCACCCCCTCGATCCCCAGATGCTGGCTTGCTCTCTGCAACCCGAGCAGGTGAGTGGGGAGAATGCAGCCGAGACAAGGAATGAACGGAGCTTAATCTCCACGGGGAGGGAGTTGTGCCCCAGAGGCATGTCTCTGAGTCCCAGCACCTCCCGGACTATTTCTAAATTGAGCTGCGCCCAGAGGCACAAGCTAGCCCTCTGAATTGACGGGGTCAATTTTGTCTACTCTGTGTGTAAAGGCTGACTGATGCCAGAGTGTCTTCATCTGTGCTTTAGAAAAAGGAGAGAACGTATAAATAGAGAATTAGGCATGGTTTTGCATCCCTGCCCATCCTGGCTCATAGCCATTGCAGAAGGAAATGGCCCAGGATAGGGATATTTGTGCACCAGCTTTAAAAGGAAGGGAAACAGCTGGACATTTTAGAGAATCTTGTCTAAGTGGAAGGAATCCTTAAAACAAACAAACTGGAAAAGATTTGGTAAGGAAAAAAAAAAGCTCATGATCCAGGGACAGCAAACACATGGGCAGTTGCTAGGCCTGTCGCTTAATGCACTTCTAGAAGGAGCTCGCATGCCTTGAGGATGAGGGCTGTGCCAGAGTCTGAATAGCACAGAGCACAAGTGTGGGTTTAACAATCATTGGGGGCTAACTTCACTGCTGGTGCAATGCCATTGACTTTCAATGGGATTAGGCCAGCAGAGAATTTAGCCCTTATACATTAAAGTAAGGTAGTTTAAAACCTTCCCTGCTTAACACCCACGCAAAGACTTGAGTTAGGGGTTCTCAATGTCCCTGGGGAGAACCGGCCAGCCTGACTCTGGTCTCACATCACTTCTGCAGCATGCTAGCTCCACCAAGAGTTACTTCTGATTTACCCCACTGTGAGTGCAATCAGAATCAAGCCCACCATCGCTGGCTCTCAACTCTGCTGGGGAAGTGTGAGGAAAAGTCTAGGCACTTGCTAAGCAATGGCCTGTTCTGGGGAACACACAAAATCTTGAGTCTAAATTATGGCAGATGGGTAAAATGAGGAATGGATCTGCAGTGAAGATGGGCCTCAAGCTGCCACATTCAGACTGGGGTTCAGATTTCAAACAGCTTAACATTTGTGGGTGGCCCCTGCAGAACCAAGGATTTTGAACTAGGCCCATATCCAATTTCTCAACATCTTTCTTTTTGTAATGTAAATATTCATCATCATGTAGCCTAAGGAGGTGATCCAGCCCCCATTTAAACCAGCGGAAAGACAACTGCATGTGTTCTGTTAATGACTCCAAATGCATTTGTGAGTTCTAGTCCCAGGTCTGACTCTTCAGAGGAGAGAGAGATGGTTTAGCCACAGGTCTGGGAGCCAGAGGTCTGCTAGCCCTGAGATCTTGGACAAGTCATTGGGACCTTATGTTACAAAACTGGCCACTGATTTTGGGCATCCAATCTGAGGTGTATTAAGGAGTCTCACGTTGAATTTGACATCCAAGACCCAAGGCCACTTCTGGAAAATTAGGGCTACAGCCTCTCTCTGCTTTAGGTTGTCTTATTCTGTAACAGGTGTGATACCATCTGCTCCCCTGAGGTGCCGTATTCATGACTTACTGTCTGGGAAGCATTTTGCAAATGTCAAATGCTAAGAATCACCATAATCTTAAACAGGTTTCACAAAATCTTTCCCTTCCACCTTTATTTATTCTGTACACCCAACACACTTAGGTCAAAAGCCACAGCACCATTCATCTCCTAACACTGACAAATGTGAACTGTCCCGCCCACCCTGAATAAAACGCAGTGTTTTTCCCTTGTCTTCTTGCGTGTGACCAAATGTATCTTGGGAGCAGACGGCACATACCGTGAGGATCTGTGTGACAATAACAGAGGGGGAAAGATACATCAAGCCAAGAAACACAGCTGTATAAAGAAAACTACGTAAGAAAGAAAAAAACATAATCCTCTTCTTAAATGCTGCTATTCCACATCTACTGTAGCTATAAAATCAGGCCTGATGGGTCACAATGATCCCTGATACAACTCCATTGCAGCCAGTGGAGAGACCCCAGGGAAGAATTTGGCCTTATTTTGTTTTCTTTCTATGAAAGAAATTGGTTTTTGTTTTGTTTTGGTTGGTTGTTTTGTTTTGTTTTTTGACTTAGGGGGTGTTTATTTTAGGGTCAAAGGAAGAAAAAGGAAGGGGAAAGGTTTGAAGTTTTCTACCAACCTACCCTCCTCCCCCACAAAACACACACATGGAGATACCTGGTCATGGGTTTGGTGGGTTTCAATTGGGCATTTAGTGTCAGGTACTATGGGTCTGATCCAAAGCATATTGAAGGCAATGGGAATCTTTCCCCTGATTTCAATGGGCTTTGCATCTAGTTTTATGGCAGTTGGGGCCTAAGCCTGAGAGAAGACTGAGTATAACCCACTTTGTAAAGTGTATGTGTGGTGCCCCCCTCTAGTGGCTAGTCTACAGACAGGACAACACCCTACTACTGCAGCCAGCATCACTCCTTTAGCTGAAGTGGTAGCGTTTGATGCTGAAGGGGCTAGGTTCAAGCCTGCTGAGGATGCGGCAATGGGAGAGGGTGGTCACAGCAGCAGTACCTAATGGGAGGCGTGGGTGCTCATCTGAGCATCGACGCCTCTTCGGAGCGACCATAGGCTTCTCTTGACGCCTTAACTACAGGTTTGGGAAGAAATGTATTAAAAAACAGGCACGCAAAACAAATCATGTGGTCGGGCTAAGCTGGACCCTAGGATGTAGACAACTTCCTGTCTCCCATGGCCATGAGCCTTTCCTCCTTCAGAGTTGAAGCCACCAAGCAGGAAAGACCTTCCAGACAGTGATGTACCCAGGAAAATGGGCGATGTGCCCAGGGCAATAGCTCCTCCAGCTGCATATCCAGGGCGGAGGGGTTGTAGAAGGGGCAGTACAAAGGTAGGAGGGGAGGCTGTGTGGGGGTGGGGGATGCCATGTCTGTGTTTCAATGGCTCGGTTTCCCTCGTTCTTTAGTTCTCTGCTGGCTAGCAGCTAAATCCTGGCTCTGATAACAGCTAATGGAGACGCTGGTGCCCGTCTTTCCCTGCTCTCCCTAGGCAGTCAGTGGGGACTGGTTTGCTTTCTGCAGGATGATTTCCCTGACCGCTCAGGCTCCCATGGCCAGGCCCCAATCTCTCTGTCTCCCTCACTCTCTCTTGTGCCCCAAATACAGCTACTGAGTTTTGTTTCCTGGGTGGTCCAGTGCCAAGCATGGGACCCAAAGGCTGGTGACCTGGGCCTCATTTCCCCTTCACAGCAGGGTATGAGACACTCCATTTGACATTGAAGATGGGAGCTATTAGTGGTCTCTATCCTGAGAAAGAGGCCATGAGGATCTAATTCCTGATTCTGCCACTGCCTTGCTTTGTGCTGGGCAAGTCACTTCCAACTTCCTTTTGCCTCAGTTTCCCCATTTGTCAGGTGGGGATAATGATACTTCTCCCTCATTGGCAAAGGGGAAGATTTTCAAAGGCACAAGTTGGAGATAGTCGCTCAACTCCCAATGAGACTTGGGTGCCTAACTCTCCTTCGTCCCCTTGCAAAGCTCCCCTGAGACTTAGGATGGAAATCTATGTGTGGGCCTAATTCTGCTCTCACCTGGACTGACGTTAATCCGGAGGAACCCTTTTGGCTTCAACTGTGTTACTCTGGATTAGCACTGGTGTACAAGGGCATGGGGCGGGGACCAATACCATGCAAGCAATTACTTGAGTCTACATTAGTGATTGCTACTGAATATGACTGAGAGGAGGAGGGGGGTGAATTCTCTGCTATTTCTGCTGGTGAGTACATAATGAAAGTAGAAAAAAAAAAACCATTCACCTCTGGGCTAAATCCACATGTTTTGTGCATATAATCCAGGCAGGGCAATCTTCCCCCGTTTCAATGGCCATAAGAACCTTTTCCATGTGGCTCGCTCACCTCCTTTCTCTCTCTCTCTCTCTCTCTCTCTCTCTCCTCCTCAGCCTGGCTCTCCTTCCAGAGTGGTTCTTGTGGTGAAAGCCTCAGGCAGCCATGTGTGGGAGTCGTCGGGGACATGATGGGAAGCTTTCCCATTTTCTCTTTCCCTTTGCCAGGTTTCTTCACCTTTATTTATTAGTATTTATTTATTTCTCAACATGCAGCCCTCTCCACCAAACAGCCCAAGGGCATGGCTGCTACAGACCTATGCCAACATGCAGCTGCACAGGGCTCTGCGGTTTTTAGGACTAGGGGTGGGGTGGGCGCCTATTTGTCAGAATCCCTCCCCAGCATGCACCTGTCAACTGCCACCACCACTTGGAAAGCGCAAGAGGCCCAAACTCCTCCAACCCAGGTGCCAAAACCTTCCTAGAGCTATCTCCTAGTTGATGAAAACTTCCCTAATACCATGACCCCCTCAACCCATTGCCAAAACCCTCCTAAATCACAAGCCACCCCCAACACAACCAGCTGCCAAGCCCTGTCACTGTCAAACAGGCTACCATTCAGCCTTAGGCCTCTCCACTTCCTACTTTGCACAGACCACCACCAAACTGGTCCACTGTATTCCTATGGTATCAGTCTCAGCAGTTCCTAGATCAAACCTTGCACGTCCAGGGCCTCGCTTTGCTTTTTGACTATCTGATGAGCCCAGCAGCTGTGCTAAAGCCATGGGATGCAGTGGCTAGGACCACTGGGGATTCCCCCATAGCACGGAACCTCCAGCGGGCATACCCGGTAACTTA